ACCTCTCAGGATGATTGAGAATATTAAATGGACTAATGCATATAAAGGTCTTCAACTACTGATGGCACACAAAAAGCACAGTATTAGTACTATTACCGTTCCAGTTCAGAGATGTCATAGTTGCAGTCTTATTCTGGATGCTGAAACTCCTCCCATGCCAGACCCAACATATTAAAAAATCAGCACTAAAAGAAAGAGTCACAGCTGCCAACAATTTGGGGAAATTGTAAGAATTTTAAATAAGGAATTTCTCTCTTTCCTTTGTCAGTTGAGGTCATATTTTTACTGAAGGATTTTCTTTACTGGCTTTTGTGAGTCTCTGCATTGGATTCCACTCAAAGTAACATACATTTAAGTTTAGTTTCTGTAGTGTTTACAACATGGTGCCATGTGCAGGGGATTAAACCTATCTGCACTCACATGCACCAAAATAGATCTAAAAATGATTTTCTGTTGCATTTGCACACAAAAGCAACCTGACTAAACATGAAACTCTTTAATCATGTGTTTTCATTTCAAACTTATAGACTGTTTCATTGTCTTAAGAAATTTAGCACAAAACAAATATCTGAGGCCCATCTGAGTTTTTCTTTTTTATCCTTTATATGTAATCTATTTGTTTTCTGCCATCATTACTTTCTCAACCTTTTATTTTTAAAGTTTGTTAGCATTTCTATTTTTGCTTTTTAAAAAATTTAATCAGTATCATCAGGTAACTGTCCAAGTTAAGAAGGTTTTCTTTCATCATGTCTTTGATTATGGATTTTATGCCAATTAATCTGCTTTCTTCCCCAGAAACACAATGATTCTTGGGTTTACTTTCTGTTCTGTCTTTATATCTATCAACTTCTCTCTTATTTTTTCTATATATTGTAAGAGAGACACTCTATCCATCACTATTAAATTTTCCAGTGTGTCAGTTTTGCTCCTTTGCTGCCTTTAAAATCTATTTAAATTCTTTTATTGCATTTTAGTTCCCTAACAGTCTTCTTATATCTCATTCAATTCTTTCACGTCTCATCACAGTTTATCGTCACGGATTTCCACTCCACTTCCATAGATGTTATGTCTTTTTAAGTCCTATTAATCATGCCAAAAAGTTTTCTAAGATTTCCTTCCAGCTCTTACCATAAATCATTTTATGAACTCTCTCACTCTCTTTCTCTCTCTTTAGCATGATGTGTCTCTTCCTTACTTGGCACTTATTTTTTTTTTTAGTAACATTATACTTTTTTCCCCATTTACTCAATTTTGAAAATGGAATGATCCATTGAGAACAGATGTGTGTCAACAAAGCTATGTGAGTTTCTCTCAGCCCAGTGTTGCGCATTCAGTTGCTTTTTAAATCCTTTTCACCCATCCATAGCTAAAATTTTGTTAGCTGCACATGATGGATAACATTATTTAAAAGGTAAATCTATTATATTAAAATATGGAAATTTATAACTCAAATATTAAGTAGATGGAGTTCATTTGTGAGAAATGTATATGTTTATGTATATATTTTGTCATTTTTATTAAATAAAAAGGAAGGATTTGGATTTCCTTTCAGTAAAAAAGAGAAGAATAAGAAAATGAGTTTGGGAAAATAAGAACACAAGATGAGTAATGTGGATGAAGAACATGTTTAGAGTTGGCATTCAACTGCGGAACAAAGAAGCCCACTGACACCACTGCACAAGCTTCCTCATCCTGTTGCCCCAATTGGACCTCTTCCCTCAGGTTAATGATATTATAATTTTTTTAAATACCACACATGCAAAGGAAGTAAATAGCAATTATGAGTGAAGCAACATCTGTTCTGGCCTGCCCCAGCACAAAGGAAAACTGGGGATGAGTTTGAGGGAGAGTATGCTCTAGACATCATATGAAACCAGGAGGAGGGCTCAGGCTGAACTACAACAGAACATATAGTCTGTGAACTAGAGTACGAGAGAGCCCGCTGAGTACTCTACAGCCATGGTTCTCTTACCAGAATATTTACAGTCAGCATAAATGAATCGATTGTTTTTGAATCTATATTACCTCATTTGTTCTACCTGTCAACATTGCTGGCTGGAGGGAACCTTGAACTGAGAACAGGAGGAGCTTGTTCTCCTGGTGATGTTCATGCTCTTGTTGGTTTTCTAGCAATCATGGCAGCTTGCATGACTTGCATGTTCTTTCTGCCTCTGGCTGCCATGCTGCAGGGTCAATCTTGCTGGTGCAAGAAAAATGACAAGAGCTTCTAATTTTGAGCATAATTCCCAGTGTCTCACAGGCTACCATGTAGTGTAGTTCTGCTGGACTAGGGCAGAATCTTCTCCTCCCTGTATGGCCTGGCTTTGTAACACTTTAAACAGATAGGGTAGATGAAATATAGAAACCCATGAACACTGCTACCAGGGCTTTTCCTGTCCTTGGTCCCACCAAAGATATTTCACTTGTGATGACTAAACTGGCTAGTCAATGGAGAGAGCCAATGCCTGTCCTCATTCTCCTCTAAGTCGTAATTGTGAAGTTCCACTCAGTTTTCAAATGGCTGCACACACAAAAGAAAACTGATATGAAAGACAGAGCAGGAGAGAAAGCAGTGAGTACAAGAGAGACAGATGTCCAGAATTTAGGTTGGCAGAGGTCTCATGTCTCTGAACTCAAGGGAAGGCAGTAGTGCAAGGAAACAAGGCAGACACAGGTGGCGTGACACAGGTGAGTCCTTGACTATGCCTCCCTGTCCAGCCACATTAACTTGAAGTCAGCAGAAATGTCTTCTATAATCTGATAAATCAGTTTGCTGTCACTCTTAGGTTTTAGCATTCTTGTGAATTTTCATCTTTTTTTATATGCCTTAGTATGTAACTATGATGGAAAGTTGGGAGAAATTATTACTGGGGCAAGATATATTTTCCCCATGCAACTGAGATGAATTGCTAGTTTCATGAAATATGTAATTTTACATTTTTTGATCAAAGTTTTCAGGTTAAAGTTATATCACTAAAAAAAGTCACTTGGCAACACATTACATGCATTTTAGCTAAAAACAAAAGTGCTTTATTCGTTAAGAAGAAACATTATGATCAAAGGTTTGTAAAGAATATGTTTACTGATTTACATAAAGATTTAAGAATCTTACTCTTTCTCACTAATGTAAACATATATATTTTCCCTCTCATACCTCAAATTTTGAGAAATCCCAATATAAATGAAAAACATGTGTTTACCAAGAATAAGAACACAAGAAATACCAGACAGTGAGGGCTGACATTATATGGTTGTGATTATGCAGCTCAGCACCTGGCAGTGATGCCCAGACAAGTGTGGAACCAGCCCTCGAAACGTCAGCCCCAAAAGGAACCCCAGGAGACACTAAGCTTTTGATTATCTGAGATAAATTTGACCCATAGGACATGCATTCTAGGAAAAGAACTGCCTAAAACTGCTTCACATTGCCAAGGACAAATTGTTTATACCATAAATGAGTTTCAACAATGAGAATGTGGGACTTGTCTCTCACAGCACAAAGAGATCCCTGGGGTAGGAGAGAACCAGGGAAGGAGGCCAGCCTCAGAGCAGGTGTAGTTAACCGGTGTCCTCCTTGGAACACTGCCGCAGCCACTTTTAACTCACACGGTAGCAGTTGGTAGGGGAGTCCTAGGCAGAGCAGGAACAGTGGGCCACAACCAAGACCAGAAATTCACCTCAGCAGAAAAGAGACCGACTCAAAAGAGACTTGAGTTATACATGTCTGTGGACATTCCAGAGCACTCAGCTAAGGCAAAACTTTAGAGCTCAGACTGCCACAGCAGAGAACACAGGTCCCGATGCCGGGAGTAGGAGGAACACTCGGGCATCGGGCTTCAGCAGACGGGGGCTTGAGATGAAGCCAGTGGCTTTCCTGAGAAGGATTTCTGGGTGCATCATGCTCAGGCCCATGTTTTCTGTGACGATGTGGTCAAACATGAGGCTCGGAGAGGACACATAGGTCGAGAGGGCAGAGAGAGTTGAATGGGGGGGCCCAGCAGTCCACCAGGATTCAGTGCTGCTCCCCACACCTGAACACACCTGGTATGTAGGAGAAACGAGCCACAGCTGGGAATTCTCTGAAGAAGGAGGTGAAGAAGAGACAGGAAAGTGCTCAATAATGGTGCCCTAGAGCAGTGGTCCCCAACCTTTTAGCACCAGGGACTGGTTTCATGGAAGACAATTTTTCCACAGACAGTGGCATGGGCAGTGGAGCTCTGAAGCTCAGTCCCTAACAGGCCATGGACCAGTACCGGTCTGTGGCCGGAGGATTGGGGATTGCAGCCCTAGGGGACTCAAAAAGGAAAACTGAGACCAATCACCTCTAAATCGACTTGCAAACTCCTGGGTCAGTGTCAGATTCCCAAGACAAATATCATTCTCCTGCTCTGTGCAAAATGAGTCCTGGCTGGGGGATTCATATATCTTTGGGCTATTACTTAGATACACCCCAAGATACCTCCCAGAGACCTCACAGGACATCTTCCATACAGTAAGAAGACAGAAAAGGAAGAGGCAGAGCATCCTGACCAGTGATGGCCACAATTATAACTACCCTAGAAATAGAGCTGAGTTTCCAAAAGACATTTTAGTCAAATATTTTCTCTTGCCATCTGTTAAAATGGCTTCTGAGTTTGCCATCTCTTAGAATGGGTCTAATGACTTGAACTTTCAGGATTCTTTCTTAAGGAGATAGGTAACAAATAAAATGAAAACCATTCTCAATGGTGCTTACTTCAGGTCGCAGAGGATGAATTTATATGCTTGAATGTTTAGGGTGGGGAAAGGTTAGAGAGGAAGCAAGAGCCCTTCAATACCAACAGACTCAGATGAAAACAGCTGCAGAGGGAGAGGAAGACGAGGATAAGCCGAGCTGATGGCCAGAGGAAGGGAGTGGTCAGCTTTAGATTTTGGCAAAAAGGCAAGTGACCTTGTTATACCAGGGAAAGAATGTATGGCCATTTTCCTCCAGCTCCCACGTGCTAGAGGGTGTGCTTCTTTCAAGGAGAGCAGACCCTTCCATAGAAGAGAATGGTTTGGGTTTTGTTGTGTCTGATGAAAAAGAGAAAAGGGTGGTTGGCATTAAACTCCACCAATGATGGCATTGACTTTGTCATGCCGACAACCCCACTGGCTGCCGCTGCCTCTGCACCATTTTCATCCACCTCCACGAAGGTCTTGTGGATGATTTTTGATAAATACAAATTGGGAGTTGGAGAGATTCCAGTAAGATCAGCCCTCGTTTCATCAAAGATATCCGTGATGCCCATGTCTTGTAGAATAGAATTGAGATCGTAGCTGTCTTCCAAGGTGAACTGGGGGAAGGACACAGCTACCATTTTCTCAGACATGTTTTCTGAGCTGCTCCAGGCCACTAGTTTTTCATAGGTGACTTTCCTTCCAAGCTACAAGAGGAAGAAAATAATATTCAGGGTCAGATTATGAGTTTGCAAAGAATGTCCCACCTTAGGTGCATGAGTCTGTTTCTACAGTCAATGACAACCTTCACGGTCTTTCTCTAAGCCTCAGAATAGTCTGGTTCCATTTAAAATTCCTCCAAGCAAACATCTTTCCTCTTTAGAAGAAGCTATGGGACAATTTGAGTTCCAGCGTGCTTTGGTGTTTGACAGATGAGTGTTCAAAGCCCAGCAAAGCTCAGTTGATTAGTTGGGTGCTTTGGCCAAGCTCTAACATTCTGAAGTTAAATTTCCTCTTCTAAAAAATAGAGGTAATACTATTAGGCTCTTGCAAGGATTAACAAAATAATGTGTGTAAAGTAGTTAACACAGTGCAGGCACAGAGTAAATATTGAATAATGATTATTATTGATATTATAATTACTATGCCTGCTATCTAGGTATTTCTCTCACTTTCTCCCTCTATCCCTATGTCTTTACCACACTGGATAATATGTAGCTGAGCTTCTCCAGCCTTCATTAATTCCTACCTAACAATCAATCTATTCTGGTGTCAAAATCCTTACTCCTGTCAAGGTACATGTGCTCAAAAACAAGATTCAGTTAAAGGGTCTTGAACTGAGCTAGAGAAAAACAACTCTGAGTATGTGACCAGAAATCAGGATATTCAGGGAGAAGGAAAAGCTGTTTTATTTGTAGCAATTCTCAAGTTACTCAGAACCCAGACCCCTTGGTTTGGAAAAATGGTTGCAGAGAACTAAGAGATTAGAGGGAAAATGTCAATTCCAATATTTTTGGCATTTGTTCTTTAGGTCTAAACAAATAAGGAATAAATATCTCATTTAATTCAGATTTTTATATACTCTTTGATATCTCTGACAGCTCAGGTACTACCCAGGTACCAGCCTTCCTCAGGATTGTAGATGGTAGACAGTGTTGTTCTCCAAAGATCCATAATTAAATATTTTGTAGAGACATGGAAATTAAGACTTACTTACCTCTTCCAGACCCTTCAGGTTATCTTGCGAGCAAGACGGCAGCAGGATGAACATGCTGAGCTCCCCCTTAGTATATCTCATCTCAAGGATCTGTGCCTTCAGCTCCTCTATGAAGCCAATTCTATACTGACCTTTTTGAGTCATCATCTTCACATTCTTCTTTTCATTCTGCAGGAGACAAGGTAGGAAGTCACAGGATGGCCATGGGAAGCTCACAAATGCACATGGCCCCAACTCTCCTGAGAACAGAGGTTCTGTGAGATGAGACGAGTCTGCCGCAGAAGTCCTGAACCACACCAGTAACCCAGCCCGAGAAAGTCTGCCCTCTGATTGGTTGGCCCTTATGTTGCCAATACTGTGTCTTTATGTGTTTTTAGCCAGTTGTTCAGCTCCCAAGACTGCTGCTGGTAGACTCTCTATACGAGCACCTCCCACTGCCTCGTCAGCAGAAACGAGCCCTGCCAGCTGTCCATCTTCAATGCCTGCCTCACCTTCCCTCTTGGCCTCAAACCACCCTGTCCCCTCTGACCTGGAGGAGCCCACCACAGCACTGATGGGAGCCGTGGCTAAACAATAATCATCTACATATTAAATAACAACCCTTGCTCAAAAGGCGTACTTCAGAGGAAGGACACCCCCAAGCACCTTAAACCTCACAATAACCTTGAGGTAAAGGGTGAGGTGTCATCAATCTACAGATGAGGACATTCAGTGCTTGAGAGAAAAACTTGTCCCCAGTAACAAGCTAACCAGATAACAAGTGGTTGGCTGGGATCCAACCCTTGTCCTTTCCTCCCATTCTAAGCCCAGTGGCTTAAAACGCAGGTTTCTCAGGCAAATTCTCACAGATGTGAATCCTTATGCATTAATTTGGTTAACTAACTTAGCTTTTGCATTTTATTCCCCCAGATCCTAAGTGAAAATAATAATAACATTCATCTCATAATATATTTGGGGGAAATAATGAATGGAAAAATATTCAGTGCAGTAGGTATTTGGCAAAAAAACACCCAGTGAACTTCATGTGCTTTAAATGTTCTTATTATTTAAGCTATAAATAATAAGCTATAACTCAGAGAGCTAAGTTTTACTCAGTGGAAATTATGAGTTGAATAGCTAGAAAACCATGAGCTCTAATACAGTACCTCATTTAGAGAGAAAAGTGCATCAACTGTGTTTTCACAGTCAAAATATTTTTCCCATTTGGCCTTAAAGTAAACAGCATTCACCAGCACCAGCACAGTCGCATCATTAATAGTGTCCTTGCTGAAGAGTTCCTTGATTTTGCCTAAAGAAAAGGCCCCAGAGAATATCCTCAGTATGAATTTTATCAAAGGTATTCATGCATACAGATTTTTTTTAATGCAGTTTAACAACATCAACACTAGAGAGTGTCTCATCCAAGAGCTAACCTGAGAAAATTAAACCCTTTTGAGTCCCAGGAAGGGGGATATGGAGGTAAGCGTGAGGGTTAAGGAGTGGGGAGGAAGCCTCTCACTGCATCCTGGGGGGATCTGATTCAGAGCACTCTAACAGGGGGAATCTCCTCTGATTCTATCACTTGTGATTGGGACTTGTCCTTAGACATCTCATACTATGGTTTGTCTTTCAAATTATAGATCCAGTCACCTGACTATATGATAACCTCTTTCAGAAAAGACTATGGTATAAACTTCCATTCAAACACTCATCACAACATAGTATATGTGCTTACATATAAACAAAAATATAGATAAATGTAGTAGGCCATGACATAAAGTCTATTTTACTGGGACGTTCATGGGCCCTCTCTCATTCTATCCTACCTAAACCATAGGAAGGAGGTACTGTTATCCCTTCTTTATGAAAGAATAAACTGCATCCAGTAAGAGGTGAGGCCACACAGCCAAGAAACAACAAGACCAGGTAGGATGGGTTCTTGGGCCTTCCAACTTTGGGCTAAGCTCTGGGGCTCCTTCTGTAACCAGCCCTGTGAACAAACACAGGACGAACCACCATACACATTTTCCCCATAGCTTTCCTGTGCTTTGGATTCCCAGGCCAGTAGGGCTTAAAAACAAGGACCCTGCAACATTTAACTAACTACTTGACCTTTTAAGTTGTTTCCCAGAGACAGCAAAATTTCTGCAAGAGTTAGTTGAGATTCCAAGGTCCCTGCTGCAGACTTCCTGACGCCAAGACTCACCATCCCTCACTAAATTGTGACCTATGAATCAAACCACCCTCTTCAGTGACTTTCAACGCAACTTGCCCTGATGCACATAGCCACACTCCTTAACCCCTATAAAATCCCTTCCCCATCTCCATTAGTCAGGGAGACAAATTTAAGGCTACTTCCCTCCCTCGTCACCCAGTTGATGTCATACATATTAAAAATTCCTTTCTTCCTTAGCAATCCTCATTGTCTCAGTAATTGGCTTTCTGTGCAGTGAGCAACCAGACCTAGGGCAGAGCCCCCCTGCAGTTTCAGTAATACTCCCACAATGGCACAGCTCTGAGGTTGCCTGGAAAAGCCCAGTGCCATCAGTCAATAGTTCATCTTCATCAAAAGTGCATGCTTTTCTACCCGAAAGTACCAAGTCACCAGTTACTTGAATGCTTGCTGGGTTCTTAAGAAGAAACAACCCTTCCTTCCACATCAAGATCTCTGCTTAAATCCCATAATAATAACAGATTATGTTGACATCATCCATCCTTAAAATGCTCTGGGAGACTTAACTTACTAAGAAGAAACTACATACTCAGGATGAACTCCTTTAGTGAACTGTTTTCCTCCTGACACCTGAGTGGAGGCTTGAAGAAATGGGAATTTTTGTGGTATGTGCAAGAAGGAAGAACAGACAAATTTGGAATTTGGGGATTTCTCCCAAGGAAAAGCCAGGCAGAGGTATCCCAGCTCTAAGTCAATGTGAGGAGTGGAGGAGACGTGGAAAGAAAGAAACCAAATGGAAAAGCAGAGCAGAAAGTGTTGCACCTGTGCCAAAGACAACCCAAGGGCAGTCAGCTGTTGTTCCCAGGCCACCAATCACTCAAAACTTGTGCCAATGCCGTGGGTCATGGGGAAGCAATGCACGACCTGTGTTCTCTCAGGTACTCCAAACTTTTCATTGCACATGAAATTCTTCCCAAGTTCCATACTGGCAATCAAAAACTGCCCTACTCTGCATCTAGCAGCCTGACTTGTCCCTTCAGGTCACTAACCTTTAGGCCTGTGGGCAAGACCTTACTCTGTTTTTCACATCCATAGATGCAATGTTGGAAGGGAACATTCTCTAAGGCCTACATAGAGCATCAGCACCCACTGGGGCTGGTCCCCTCCCTTCTTTTCCACAGAGGGTCAACAAGCCCACAGACCAAAGGACTAATAATAACAGTAATATGTAAGCATTTTGGCTGTTCAAATCACACTTTGAGCATATTCTACATATGGGAACTTCTGACCCCAACAGACTGGCAATCTGAAAAGCTGGGCTGCCTGGTTTTCTTTTCTCTCTTTTTTTTTTTTTTCATTTCAGAATATTATAGGGGTACAAATGTTTTGATTACATGTTTTGCTTTTGTGCAGTTTGAGCCAAAGTTATATGTGTGCCCGTCACCAAGGTAGCATGCATTGTATCCATTATATGTAAATTTACCCATCCCCTCCACCCCCTCCCACCTACTTGGTTTCTGTTGAGTTTTACTACCACATGTGCACATGCGTACTGATCAATCAGTTCCCATTTAATAGTGAGCACATGTGTTTGTTTTTCCATTCTTGTAGTACTTCGCTTAGAAGAATGGTCTCTGGGTCCATCCAGGTTGTTACAAAAGGTATTAGTCCACTTATTTTTTTTTATAGCTGCATAACATTAAAAAAAAAACAAACCTGGTTTTCTTTTAAATGGAAAAGAATTCCAGTTACCATGTGTTTTGTCCTCCTTACCTTGAGACTGAGATTCAACCCAATAGTTAATCTCTTGTCTGGACTTTTCAGTGTGTTTCCGGAAATCGACACTTTCAATGGTTGTGTGATAAAACTGAATCACACCATCTGTATACTCCTGTTCAGTTGGAATGAAGGGGAAATCATGCAATAAAGTCATAATAGTGATAGTACTAGTTAACTGTGAGGCAGTCTTGAGACAGACAAGTCTGGTCATTAACACTGGAGGAACAGGCATGTCAGTTTCTATCTCTTCCCCAGTCTTAATTCAGCCAGAGACATTTCTGCTCTTGTGCTGACACTGTAAGATATAAAACTTTTATTCATGATGCAATCTACAGTCACAAAGGCATGAGCCTTTCTTACCAGATGTCATTTTATCTGGACAACCCATTTGTGGAGGCATCACAAGATAAATGTCAAGTAACTTGAGAGACTCAGCTGTAAAATGCTTCCGTTTTTAAGAACTAAACCTTGCTTAACAGTTGCAATTTCTGTTTGGGGTGATGAAAAAGTTTCAGAAATAGAGCAATGGTTCACAACATTGCGAATGTAATTCATGCCACTGAATTGTACACTTAAAAATGGTGAAAATGGCAAATTTTATGTTATATGTGTTTTACCACAACTTTTTAAAAAATGTATACTATAATATATCAAAACCATTCATTTGTACTCTTTCAATCGGTGAATTGTATGATATGCAAATTGATATTCCAAAAAAGAAAGCTAGTTGGAAAAAAATGCAAAAGATAAAAATCTCATTTTTATTGTAAGAGAACACACTTATTTTGGTCAGAAGTGGGCTGTCCCCATCCCTGACTAGTCCAGCCCTAACCATCTGTGCTGCATCTTTGCCACTAGCCACATTCCTTACATTTATCACTTAGTGTGTGGCTCTTCTAGGGATTAGAGAGGAAACCAGAGCCCAGATGGAGACACATCTTGCTCTAGGTACAAAGCTGTTTATCCACAGAGACAAGTCCTGCACCTTTTGCTCCAAATGGCAAAGTGCAGTCTCCTTCTGCTGTGACACTTTACTTAGAAAAAGCACAGTGAGCACAATTTCACTGATGCCAAAGGTGACTTTAGAGAATTGCCTTGGGGGGAAGCCAACAGGTAGGGGAGGTACAAAGTGCATCTACCAGGCACCTTGACAGGGAAAGACATCAGGAAATAATGCCGTCACCGTCCCCACACACTCTGAAGGCTGTTCTTAATAGGACCCTTCTCCATCCACTCAATTCTACTCCTGACTGACCTCATCAACTGCTCAAGGTGAAAACTGGGAGGACCAAAACAAAAGTAGGAGACTGAAAGAGGTGGGTCCTGAACACCCCACAAGTCCCCCGCATATCATCCCGTCAGAGGGGTTTGCATTCTAGACAACAGGTGAGTAATCCAGATACTCATTTTCTTTCAATTGTATGCTATGTGATAACTTAAATCACCAGGTGTGTGCAACTCACCTGACAGATGGGGAATTCCTGCTCTCCATAAAGCCTATTGGCAATGCTCAGGGTGCAATCAGTTTTGATGCTGTCTAATTTGCAGAGAAGCTTTCCGAAGTAGCAGCCAAGCAGTGCACTCTCATCATTTGAAGACTCGGCCTAACAAAAGAAGAAACAAAATGTGACCTGAAATGTGTCTATCAGAAAAGCTGAACACCCCTAAGAGACAGGTGTTTTGTACAGAAGCAAGATAGAGCTGCTTAGTAAGATGTCATTTCTCTGTCTTACTATGTCAGGGAACAAGTTGGGAAAAAGAGAGGAAGAAAGGATGAGAAGTGGTCCCAGTGGGAGATCATGGCTCGCACATTTGTGTTAAGATCATACAGGAAAAATGTCTGGGGACTCAGCAATGCACCCTGTATTTCAGAATGGTGCACCCTAGTTTTCTCTGTACTCAAAAAGGCATATGTGGCCAGGCGTCGTGGCCCACGCCTGTAATCCTAGCACTCTGGGAGGCCAAGGCGGGAGGATCACTTGAGGTTAGGAGTTCAATGACCAGCCTGAGCAAGAGCGAGACCCCATCTTACCAAAAATAGAAAAAATTATCCAGGCATGGTGGTGTGTGCCTGTAGTCCCATCTACTTGGGAAGCTGAGCCAGGAGGATCGCTTGAGCCCTGGAATTTGAGGTTGCTGTGAGCTAGGCTGATGCCATAGCATTTAGCCTGGGTGACAGAGCAAGAGTCTGTCTCAAAAAAAAAAAAAAAGGGGTACATGAAAGACAATCATCTCTCTACCTCCTTTTAAACTTTCTAAGGTAGGGGAATATATAACCTGAAGAATATCTTTCCTGCTCCTGGTACAAAACAGTCAATAAAAGTTTTATGTGTCAGTACAGTTTTCATTATGAACTAGAACAGGCAGAGGTAGAAGGAGAAAGTAACACTTCCATGTTGGATCCTACCCCTTACTGCGCTTCGTCCTTAATCATGCTCCTTCCTGGGGACCCGTGGCCTATAGAAGTAGGTGAATAATAGGGTTTTATTATTAAATATCTAAGTTTCTTTATCATGAGCAGAAGATACTAGATCCTACTCTTAAGGAAACAAGCTCACAGCCAAGGACATATAAGACACATAGAAAGAAATTGCAGATCACATGAGGTTATTGCTGTTGAAGGCAGCCAGGACCTAATGTTTGGGGATAAGCAACCATCACCAAATGGTGCAGCCAGAATGAACAGTTTGTAAAGAAGAGGAGCAGGAGTTCATGTAGCAGCTCACCTGCTGACTCAGAGATTCTGTTGTTTTCTTCTGCCCTTCCAGAGAGCTGTCAGCCATCTCTTCTTGCTTATTGTTTTTCAGACAGGAGTCAGGTTCTTTGCTTTCATTCTGAGAAATTTCACTGAAGTGTAGTACCTGCATGATAATGGAATAGGGTATTTCAGACAGTATGGACAGCAGGAAGTCTAAATAGTTTCAGAAACATTTTTATAATGTGACAATGACAATGATTACATAGTCAAACAATAGTTTAAAGGAAAGTGGATGCTTCTTTTCTTGGGTTGTAAGGTGAAATGGAGAGGAAGTAATTGAATGCTACCCCCCAGAAATGCATATATGAATGGATACAACCAAAAAGAATACAGAGGTATCTGTGAGCTCCGTGCAGCTATTGGGCACTGCATAGATGGCCAGTCTGAATTGTCCGTAAGCTCAAAATACACACCAGCTCTAGAATATAGTATGAAAAGCAAAGAATGTAAAATATCTCAGTAAAATCCTTATGTTGATTACAGGTTGATATGATAGTATTTTGGATATATTGGGCTAATTAAAATTTATTATTAAAATTAGCCTCACCTGTTTCTTTTTACTTTTTTAATGTGGCTACTAAAATTTTTTTTAATTACTGTGTGTCTCCCATTAGATTTGTGTCAGACAGAGCTGTTCCAGAGTTTTGCACCAATCAAGGAAGCCAGGACAGCAAAGACAAGTTGTCCAGAGCCTTACAGAAAGGTAAGGCTGGTGCAGGATGGTGACATGTCCTGCACTGTTCAGACCAAGTGTGTTGGCAGATGACCCCCAAGTGCCTGAAGGAAGAACATCTGAAACCTGACCTGGAGGATGCAAACCACACTCTAATGCTAAGTTTTTCTAATGGAATAAGAAAGTAATAATACACCCAATCTAAGTAGATGAATAACGTAGAATGACTCCAAACACATTCTGCCTGAATCCATAAATTTGATTCATCCATATTCAGGGGCAACAGCCGTATTCACACATAACCCTGTGCTATGTGCTAATCCAAGGAAGGAAGCATAAGACCAACCTCAGGAGCTTACAGTTTATTTGGGGAGTCGTTATCATCTTCATTCATTCAATCTACAAATATTTATTGGGTGCCTACTTTAAGCCAAGTACTGTCCTAGACAAAGATCCCTGCCCTCTAGGAGATTATATTCTAGTGAAAGAGACATACAAAGAGCAATACATATAGTCATTAATTACTGTGTGCAGTATGTTAGACAGTGGAAAATGCCACATGGGGAGAAGTAGTAGGAATTTCTTATGGAATTGAGATCCAAGATGCAGCACTAGATTGGGAGGTCAGAATAGGCATTCTAGAGGAGGTAAACCCTGATCAAAGTCTTGAAGGAGAAAGAAAACTAAAATCAGTTATCTGAGGTAATCTGAGCCATGAGGCAAAGGCAGCCAGAGCAAAGGCCCCAAGACAAGATGGCGCAGCTTCCCCAAGGAAGTGGGAGACCAATGTGACAGGTGCAAGGGAGGAGGGGAAAGGGGAGAGATGGAGTCACAGGGATTATCTGGGATTCACATCGTCAGATCATCATAGGCCATTGTAAGCACTTGGTCTTCTATGATGAGCAAAATGAGAAGTCTGAGATTTTTGAGCAGAAGAGAAACAGGATCTGACTCAGGTTTTAAAAGGATCTCAAGCTGCCATGTTAAGAACAGACTGTCATGAGAGCAGGAAAGCCCACCAGAAGGTTGTCACAGTGTGCAAGTTAGAAAAGATGGTGGCAGTTCAGATCTCAGGGAGGCTATGGGAAAAGCTTGCATCCTGGATATATTTTTGAAAGAAAAGCCAACAAAATGTTCTGATAAATGTGGTATAAAGTGAGAGAGAAAGAGAAGAGCCCAGGAGAACACCAAGATCTCCAGCCTCTGGATACACATCTGTGCTTAATAAATACTGATGAATGAATCAGGTGAGAGAGAAAACGCATACACTTACTGAAAGCTACTAGCAATATTGGTATCAGTAATGATGAGAAAGGGTGACAGACATGCAGAGATAGACAGAGAAGACAAATGAGAAAAGCTGTCAGACTGGAGAGGATGGGGAAACACAATAAAGGAGGTAGAAGTTTAATTGAACATGGAAGAATGGTAGGATTGAAGAGACAGCAAAGTGTGGGGAATATTAATACAAATGAGGGCTCAGAAGCAGATGCCAGTGCCAGCTCCGAGCAAGTCCAGGGTGCGGTGAGCACCGCGGCTTTCCTGAGTACGACTAGCGTCTGACCTGGCCCGCGGACCAGGATGTTCAGGACCCCAGGCAGCACCTTAAAGGTACGTACTTCGTCGATCTGATGTGCGCTGTCATTTCTAGCTCCCAGACGGAGCATACCAAGGGCAGCCGAGAGACTCAGAGGACAGAAAAAGATATTTTTACAATAATCATCTCTGCTTAGCTTGTGGAAAAGATCAAAGCAAAATTTGGTGTTTGCTGCAACAAGACCGTCCATTGTAAAACGCCTAATAGTCTAAAACCAAAAAAAGGGAGAAAACAGTGAGTGGAAAAAAACAGGTAAACAAACAATTCTTATTTTAAGTACCCAAAATACAATCATTCACTGTTATGCAATATGTTATTAACAACTGGGAAACTAAGATCATTATCATCCCCGTATGTAATTATTGGTGTCAATATTGATAGAGATAGAGATCTATTTTCATGTAGAGGAATGAATTAGTTTCCTGGTGCTGCCATATCACAAAACATCACAAATATCACAAAACAAATAGTTTAAACAACAAGTTCTCCCCCGGTTCTGGAGGACAGACATCCAAAATTGAGGTGTTGATTTATTCTAGAGACAATCAAGGAAAATCTTTCCTCTCCCAGTTTCTGGTGGTTGCCAGCAATCTTTGCCATTCCTTTCTTGTAGACAAATCACTCCAATCTTTGCCTCCATCCTCACGTTCTTCCCTTTATCTTCCGTGTGCATATCCAAATTTCCTCTTCTTTTAGAGATACCAGTCACTGAATTAGAGCCCATCCTAAACCAGTATGACCTCATCTTAAGTTGATGACATCTGCAAAGAACCTATTTTCAAATAAGATCATATTCACAGATACAGGGGTTAGGACTTAAACATATGCTTTTGGGGAACAAAATTCTGCCTTCTTTGTGGTGGAACTTCCTTTACAGGTAAAATAAAGTCAAAGGCTACTATTCCCCATGGTCAAGTTAGCGGCCAGGCGAACATCATTCATCTCGTTCTCCATGGGCTATGCCTGGTTCTGCAGAAGACTCTTGCCTGTACTCTCCCCTCAGTGTTCTGTCACTTAGGAGATGCCCAGCATATTGTCCTGAGTCACGTACCTTGTTAACATTCTCACTCCCTTTTGACTCATCCCATATGAAACCTACAGAACTTGAGACACTTTAGTTAGTCATCAATATTGTTCAAGAAATAATAGATCTTGAAAGATGTCAGGTGTTTCAAAATCACTGAGTTTAGCCGGGCGCGGCGGCTCACGCCTGTAATCCTAGCTCTCTGGGAGGCCGAGGCAGGCGGATTGCTCGAGGTCAGGAGTTCAAAACCAGCCTGAAAAGAGGTACGGAAGAGATCCTATCCTACGTGAGGGACACTTAGCAGAAATAGTAGGTATAGGAGAAGAGTACTTATTTTGGGGCCAAGTTACATGTGTGTTGATTCTCAGCTTTCTGATCTAGAAAGGGGAAGGGATAATATCTACCTTACAGAGTGGTAAGATTAAAGCTAATACGAGGTAAAATATTTAACACATGTCAGGGCACATTTTAAAAAGTCACATATATTATATTTGAATTAAGTTTTATAGGCTAAAAAGGCCTATATTAAATGGGGAAAATGTTAAAGCCAATGGATATCATTTAATTCAATGCAATAATGATTTTTCATCTTTACAATGTGCCACATTCTGATGATCAAAACACAAATAAGGAGGCTTACATTTCCATCTTGGAAATACACACTGATCCATAGGCAAAGGGACGAAAAGAAAAGACATTTTATGTGAGAGGCATAGAACCAGGACAACAATCTACATACGGTTCTCTTGATACTTCTGAAATAGATTGGGCAGGGGGAGGTCAGGGAATCTGTTTTTAGGAAGTCTCTTACTCTCTTACTTTGGGTTCTCTATCATCTGTGATTCTACAATGTCAAAGGAAATTAACTCAGTGATTTTTTTTTTTTGAGTACAGAGTGCTCACTTTGTTGTCCAGGCTAGAGTGAGTGCGTGGCGTCAGCCTAGCTCACAGGAAGCCTCAAACTCCTGGGCTCAAGGCGATCCTACTCCTCAGCTCCCGAGTAGCTGGGGACTAAGGGCATGTGCACCATGCCCGGCTAATTTTTTACATATATATATCAGTTGCCATAATTTCTTTCTATTATGTAGAAAACGGGGTCCTTGCTCTTGT